ACACTGCCACGGGCTTTGCAGCCTAAGTAATTTTAAAAATTATTTAGGCTGCAAAGCCCGTGGCAGTGTGTTTCGGATCCTACCTAGCCTTTCCCAGGGCTTGCTGGATCACAAATCCAAGTTGGAGTAGCATATCGAGGAAGGACTATCAAAGTGAATATCAATTTGGCGTGGGGTTGAACACCGAAAACTTGAATCAACAACGCTCCCACCCCACAAACTACATCCTAAGACCGTAGCCCTTCGCTTAGAAAAAATCACCATAATACTTCTGCCCGTGCCGCTTGAAAATCTTGCGCCCTCCGGGTTCAGATGACCAACATCCCTTTCGTGTTTTCTTGGCCTCAGGACCGGACCCCACAAGCCTTGAAAGCAAATCTACACACGAGAAGGAGCGCGCTCCTGTGGGAGGGTCCAGCTTCATGTCTCTGAAGGACCCGAATGCCAGCTTTGGATTTGAGGGTTTCTCACTTGGGATACAGTTGTTTATCGGCTTAATTGACTTTTGGTGGTTTTACACGGTTTGATAAAGGTGTTAGGTCTGTTGGGGTTTGAGGAAACCATGGTCCTAACGAGACGGGCCATTTTTTGATCCCTTTTTCTGCAGCTCCCGCAGGGAACTAAAATCCCGGGATCAGCGTTCAGCCATAAGGTGGAGTGTTAAGCTGTACGGTTGTTGGGCGAACGGTTTTGTTTTTGAGGCTTTTTGGGTCTGGTAGGATCAGTCGCATGAAGTGCGTCATCCAAAATGATCCGAGGACTTACAAGTCAGGATCCGGGTACAGATAACCTAGACCTCTCAATACAGGGCGCATATCTTTGGTCATCCATCCATAGCTGTTGTTGGCCAGGGGCTTAAAAAGAATGAAGGAATTCCGAATCACAACGACTAGGTGGTTTGGTGCCTGGCACATCGCTTGTTCCGACATGTTATCCGTTCTGGAAAAGTTTACACACTTTCTTGCTGAACTTGTCATACTATAACACTTCCTCAAGCACACAATGAATGTATCCGGCGTGGCCTGAAAACGAAGACCATGAGCCGTAAACTCTGAACCTGGAAGCCTATGATCCGAGGCTTTGGGTTTAGTAGGGGCAGCCTTTAAACTGTAACATGTCTGAGGATGCGGCCGATGGTCAATGCTTTCGGGTTTCGGGTTCAGGGCTATATGTTGACATCAACGATGCATCTGACACTGAAACTTACATATATCGCGCTCAAACTTATGGCTCTTTAGTGTTCCGGGGTGCGAAAGCAATACACTGCCGGGTTTTTGGATGTCCTTACACCTTATAAGCCCTGAACCCTAGTCTTAAATCCTATACAGCCTAACTGGAAGCTCGAGATTCCAATACGCCGAGCGCGAACCAAAACCCTGAAGCCTAAGCCGTAAACCCTAAACCGCAAACCCTAAACCCTAAATTTTACCCCAGTTCCAGATTTCTGCGGGAGAAAGGGGCCATTGCACTTAAAAAAAAACAACTTTACCCTAAACCCTTACGCCACCCTCCCGGATCCGGTCGGCGTCTTCGAGTTTCACCCGGATCCGTTTCGGCAGGTTTGTGTTTTGCCCAAGAGAGGCTTCAGCTCGACGGCCCAGGGGTTTTAGGTCTCAGGGTTTAGGCATTTTGGCGTTAGGTTAAGGAGTTGGAGCTTTGTGGTTGCGGCTCAAGGGGTTTTTTTCAACAAAAACAAAAAAGCAGCAAGATACCTGAACCAACGAGGGTTTTAGGGTTTTTCAAAAAGAACCAAGAGACCTTAAACAAAGTGACATATCTTCTTGTAGGCAGAAGAAGGTTTTTTTTTGTCCAGGCGGGGCAGGGCAGCTGTTTGTATGAGGATCCCACATTATAGGGTCATATTCTACGCCTTGTTTTCAGGTACCGAGGTTTCATGCTAGGATCTGTCATATAGTCATATAGAAAAGTTGGTACCTAAAAAAGGGGCAGTGTATGGCCCTGTATGTATATTTAGGTAAATACCTTTTGCCTGAGACTCCTGCATATGGCTGAAGAACCGACAGCAGCAGCACCAAATCGAACCTGTAATTCCGGGGCTCAATGAGCCCATTACCACAAGCCCTCAGCCTGTAACCTACACCCTAGCCCTAGACTCATAGCTTCAAACCAAGCAAAGGTCTTAAGCCTGAGCTCTAATGTAAGCTCACCCTGAGGATCTGCGCAGCTGCCTTCTGACGAGCATAAACACCATGAAGGCAGGCGGAGATGAGCCACTCTGGCGCCAGAAGGTGTAGGGTTGTGCGTCTACTACACAGGTCTTGGAGAGTCAGTGATAATTTGACCATACCAAAGTGTAAAAGCCACCAACACCCTACTCTAGCTAATGATTCAGGAGGCGTTCATGCCAAAAGTTTCAACTTCGGGTTGTTTAGGGTTGGTTTGGGGTTTAAAGGTGTTTCCGGGCGACGAGTGTCGGATATTTGTTCCTTGCAGAGGAGTGCTCCTTGTCTTTATCCTTGTGAAACCGTGTAATACTCTATCCGCATGGCACAATCCTGTTGAAAGGAAATATCACCCCGCTGGTTTTGTTTTATGTGGCAGAAAAGCATGACCTGAAGCCCAAACCCTAAACCCTAAACCCTAAACCCGAACCCTAAACCCTAAACCCTAAACCTGAAGCCCTTCAGCTAAGGCAGTTGTTCTACATCGATGGCCTGACTCTTCTGGGTAGCGGTGAAGAGAAGATGCTCTTCGACAAGCTCCTGGTCCGGCGTTGTGGTCTGCGGTGTCAGGGCTCAGGGTTTGCGGTTGTGGTTTAGGGTTTAGGGGTTTAGGGTTTAGGGTTTGGGGTTTAGGGTTTGGGGTTGTGGTTTAGGTGCTGTGTCTCGGGTTGACGGTGTAGCACATAAACCCTCCTATAGTTCGAAGCCCTACCCCCCAGGACCCTTAACCCCCTAAGCCCAAACCAGCACCCGATTTCTTGATTGCGGGGCCTTCTGAAGAAGTTCCAAAACTCTTCTGTCATCTGGCGGAGAGAAGCAAGGTACGTGTATCTAATTTGCTGCTTGGGTTTGGGTCCTGCTGGGGTTTAGAGACGTTCGTGTTGTAGCACGATTTGAGAAGATTTAGCTGCATGGTTCCAGGATGTTCAAGGCTCCAGGTGTCGTTTCGATCTCACTTTAGGGCTTAGGGTACATTGAGGCTTGACGCGCGAAATTTCCTGTCATGCTTTCTGAAAACTCTGTGTTCTTCAGCAGATCGACCAAGGGTTTTGAGTTTGCTTGTATGTCTTTGTCGCTTAGCGAGAGTGCAAGATGTTGCGTATCAGCTGTCCTGAAGCAAATTCCTCTGGCATCCCTTTGGAACACCCGTGGAGTTCCATGCAAGGGAGTTCAGGTTATTGTAGCCGCTTATATCAGTGTTCAGGCGCAGAAGCTGTATTAAGGATTGGGGCTGGGGCTTGCGGGCCCCACAACTTGCACCCTAAACCTCAAGCCCTAAACCCGCAATGGCTCTGGGGTTTGCAATCAGGGACCCCAAGTTTCGCTTCCGCTCGCAGGGGTTGAGGGCTGCACACTTATACAACATGTAAACGATCCGTGAAGCAAACCTCGTAGAAGACATATTGACCTCTGACACTTATAGAGTCACCCTAAACCCTAAACCGTAACCCTAAACCCCAAACCCCAAACCCTAAACCCCAGACCTTAAACCGCAAACCCTCGACCCTAAACCCGACGCCCCAAACCCTAAGCCCTAAACCTTGAAGCCTCGAGACCCTACCTATAGTCTCCATTGTAGTTCCAGTTTTTGGTTTAACCTTTTTTATATTCAGGATCCTATAAGGTAACCCCAAAAGGGAACTTCAATCCGAGGCTGCACCCAGGACCGGAAGGCGCATCAGTCACGGTTTAGGGTTTGGGATTTGGGGGTTTAGGGGTTGAGGGGTTTGGGGGTTTAGGGGTTTAGGGGTTTAAGGGTTTGGGGGTTTAGGGGTTTATTTAAGGCTTTGGGGTTTAGGGGTTTCGGGGTT